ACTTAGAATTTCATTATTTTGACATTCTCTTGAATAGGGAAACCAACTAGAAATGGACAGTACATATAATTTCAAAGTTGGGTGCCACTAAGCTGAAAAAGGTACATAATTCATTCATTATGCACAGGAACTAGAAATTTATACAAATGATACAATAGATACACAGAGATGGAGTACCTTCAAAAATTACTTATTGAAAACGGCTATCACTCAAGATTTATCTCAGAAATATCGAGCCAAAACGGTGAAAAGAACGAGTTCTTTCTATCCCTAAGAAGATCTTACTAATGAATACTGAATGAAAAAGAGACAACACAGAAGAACTACTACTAACCAGGAAAATGTAATGATTTCCAGCCTACAGTTAATTTAATGGGGAATGAAGGAAAAACTGCCACTTTAGACCATATCAACACATGTCTATCGGTCTGCCTGTTTCTGTAAAGCTGGCTATAGAAACCATACAAAGCTTATCCTTTCCAGACACATCTCTGAGCATTATTCTGATTGGGTATCTAGAGGGGATTGCAAGTCGAACGAGAGTTCCATTTTGAACCACCTAGTCAACTCTGGTCATTTTGCTTGCTCATAGTCTTCTTTCAGAAATTCTATACAAAGTGAAACCAAACGGCTCAAAAATAGTATGGATTTGTCACTAAAGTAAACCAGAGGTGTCAGCAATCCGACAGTTAAAGACCGATCTCTGTGTAGGGAAGAGATAAGCTCGTTCTCTTATTCTTTGAGTTTTTTTATTGCTTTAGTATTCGTCTGACTCTTATTGACTGATTATTTTTACGTTAGGGTTCACTTTCTTTCATCTTTAAACGATAGTTCCAATTTCCTGCTTAAGTATCAGTAACATTATACTCCAATTATCGATTATAAAAAAAAATTATTTCCTTATAGGTCTACGCAGTCTCTTACTAACACTGTTTTATCCTGAAGCACTTCATTTTGAATACCTAATTTTGACCTTTTAGCCAATATTAGACGAATTTGTTTCGTTTTTATTACTTACTCTAAATACGAAAGTACAGCCAATCAAAGCTGTTCATTCAAAAGACTTCAGTTGCTTGGAGGCAACTGGCAGGATGACCTGGACCTAAATCTCGTCCTTATTGACACTCATCAGCAAGGAGTGTCTGTAACCTTAAGGGAAGTGATGTCCTGCCCGCACCACTGAGTGTTACAATCAGACACGTTAGCATTGAGCTACTCGTGCAGGACTGAATGAAATATATTAATTAGTCAGTGGCAAGCAACCAGTCAAGGTAAAAGAGCAGACATTCTGCTGAATTATTTTGTTTGAAGTACAAATAGTCAATCTCCAACTATTCACATATTGTTTCCATAACAGTTTCACCTGTTGAGATTTCTATAACAAGGTCAAATTACTTAGTCTCACATTAGTAGTATGACGCCCCAGCATGTCAAAGGACGAGTATAATGCGCTGTAGTCCGTTCTGTCCTGTTATACAGCTGTGAGACATGATTGTTAAAGGCAGAAGATATGAAGCAGATACATAGTTTCGATCATAGATGTCTTCGTAAAATAGCGCGCGTTTGGTGGAATCAACATATGAGCATTACTGGGGTCAGGAGAAGTATATTAGTCAAGACAGTCAAATCTGTGGATGAGGTTATGAACTTTAGTCGACTCATATGCCTTGTATATGCACTACGCACACTGAGGTATTCCCAGTCTCGGTGGGCCATTCTAGGTGAAGTTGGATTAAATACGGTGATTGGTCACTGGACGACAACCGATTTCATGTTGTTCAGTCTTGAGTGTTGACTGAATTCGATCGATCATTTTGGAATGTGGCCACCTAGCTTAAAGATTTGGCATCGCGGTGCATTTGGATAGATGTTAGTTGGCTGGAGGGAGTCGGCAGGATGCCATGGACCTAGGTTTCATACTTGTTGGCACTCATCAACACGGCGTATCTCCCACCTCAAATGAAGTAGTAGTCGTTAGGTGAGGTCAACCTGGCTGTGGTTCCTGAGACAATTTGAATCAGTTGTTGAAGACTGTTGACAACAGGGCTAAAAATGGGTCACAATGGTGCGGATGCATTCAATCCTTGACGTCTTCTAAAGCTTGAATATTGATGTAACCGTTCTCTTCAAATTATTTACTCTTTCATTCGGCTTTGTCTACTTTGATGTCATTCTTCTGTCCACTTGTTCTTTTTATACTACCGTGAAGTAAGGTAACTTGAGATGATGCACTTATGTATGAGGTTCTACTATGATTTTCTCTGTTTGTCTTTCTGTCTGCCACATAGTATATTAGCTCGGCAAGTTGGATGCATTAGGATAGTTTCAAGGGTTGCACCAGTTGTTCATTGTTTCATTTCCTTGACTGTTTTCAGTATTCTCTTTGAACATAATGAGTAGCTTTTACTTATAAAGTAGGTTAGGTAACTGACCCAACTGTCTAGCGCTCAGTTCTCATCGCTCATTGAATTCTGTCGACTAAAGTTTGCAGTGTAGCCACTCAACTAAGTGATACCTTTCACAAAGCCTACAGTTTGGCTCCAAACACCTAACACTAGCCTATATCTGTTAAAACTTACTCGCTAGGAGACAGTATTATCAGGGGAATATTTTAGAGAAGTTGGTAATGGGTTTATTGCACAAATGCTACTTCACCAATATGTAGCTTTTGGGTAAGCCTACTCTCATGTAATTATGACCAACTATCATCATTTTGGTACAAATCCATTGAAAGGCGATATGTTGGTTAACTGAATCTACTCAAAGTCATTATAACCATCTGAAGCATAATGAAATGTGTGCGAATCACAGGATCAGACATCTGACATTTCAATTAATCACACTATCCAGATGTTTATTAGTCAATGCTTCAAGTTTATTGTAAGTTTCAACAAGGCTTGGTTTGCTGAATATCCGTATAAGGATCTAGCTTGAAATAATACCATCTCTTTCACTGAGAAATATTCGGCACTTACATGCATTTTTTTATACATTTTCTGTTTACTAACAAATTGATAATTCATTCAAAATACTCAAAGTACAATACGAAAATGTGTGTGTGAAAAACAGTAGCAGCATTTCTATGCAATTTGGTTAGTCAGTTGAAAAGAGAATATATATATATATATATATATATATCAGGTTGAAAGCTCGAGTGCTTTTAAAATAATCATCGCGCTTCGTGGAAGTGATTACCATAAAATGCTTTCAACCTGATTTTTATATACAGAAGGACAGTGTGGTTAACTAACCTCTCACTATTGTACTTTAAGACTATACATAGGCAGCTGAGGAGTATTCGTGAAATATAAGAAATCACGTTTTATTCCACAAATTTACTCCTTCTTGCTTTGTCCAAAATGAATTTTGCTGATAGAATGGGGAGGGGGTAGTTAATTTTTAGAGTATAATGAAGCTGAATTAGTTTTACCTAACATATTTTATCATGAATAAGTCATACGAAGATCAGATATGTACTCAGAATTCATTTCAGTGCTCAAAGTTATAGATATGCAGGGTAAATATTATGAGTTATCCTGATTTATGATCACAGTTGAGACTTGTATTTCCCTGAGTGAATTGTGTGTTCAGTTGTGTATTCAGCAGATTTATTGATCTGTTTTGGGGTTAACTTGTTTGAAGGCTACATATCTATTGAAAGCTGTAGAGAAATAAATTTCAAATGCCTTTGGTAGTTTTGTCTGGGTCTTCGGATGAACATCAGTCCTTTCAAAGCTACAGACAAGCATTGTCGGGTAGTGCCATTAAGCACAGAACAAAGGTTGGGTGCAGCATCCTACCAACTGCCTAAAATTGTTTAAGATACCGATAATATTCATAAAGAATAAGAATTATATCCTCTTAGGTAACATTTTACTGTAGAATTTTAATGTAGCAGTAAATAATTCCATTTAACTTTTATAATGAATCTGTTTAGGTAGCTTCTTGTAAAAAAGTATGCTGAAAATGATTCCTAGAATGGGATCGAAAGCTTCGAGAAGGAGAACTCAAACTCAGAAAGTTACAAAAATATCAAAATACTGTTAACTGATTAGTGGGTAGAGTGAAAGCAAGCTAACTTTCTTTTCTTTTTATTTCGAGAGGCAATTAAACAGTGTTATTGCTTTTATTAACCCGTCGTTGATTGAATCGACTTGATCGGTCACCATTGGTATATGGGCTCAAACTTGGATGCCTTGATATTGCCTGTGTTTTAATGACATATTAATGACATATAGTGGGTACCAGTGGAGTCCGGAATGCGCGTTTCGTCCCTTACGAGACTCGTCAGCCAGATGTACCTGGCTCCCAGTGAGTGATGTTGTTCTCACCGGGATTCGGACTTTGGACCGACCACTTCAAACAGCAGAGCGTTATCCACTAGAACACTAGGCCACGATAGCCACTTCTTCTGCGACGGGTGCAGTTTAATGTTGCCTCTTGAATTGTTCCGTCGTCGATTGGACTGAATTGATCGATCTCTGTTAGCATACGGGCTCCTGTGTGCATGCCTCGATATTCCCTGTGTTATTAACTATATAGTAATGATGGAGGGACCTATCAGTTCAGTCCAGTCAACGACGGGATAATACAAGCAGCAACATTAAAACTATACCATTCGCACAAGAAGTGTTTATCGTGGCTCGGTGGTCTAGTAGATAACGCTCTGCCGTTTCAGGCATCCGGTTCGGAGTTCGAGTCCTGGTGGGAAAAGCACCCACTGAAAGGCAGGTACATCTAGCTGACGAGTCCCCGACAGGATGAAACGTGTGTTCTGTATTACACTGCTAGTCGCTGTCAGTCATTAGTAGTTTATTAAGCAGTCTAGAATTCTGATTGACGATGATTCAATTTCCTTCCCTACATCACACTCACTATGAAAAATATCGATATTATAAATTATTTGGATAGTTTCCTTTTCCTCCAAATATATGTAAGTATACATTCTTAAGGTATTATAGGATATATTCATTTCTGAGTTGTTGTCTTTTATTGTTTAGGCTCTGGTGCGTGTGGTGATGCTTTGGCCAAAGCATTAGCTGATTTTAAGCGTACACACCAACAGTTATCAGTGAATGATGAAGCAGCATGTTGTCGACATTCTAAACAATCAAATGCTCGAAATCATGAAAATATTGGTGCAGAATGTGACAGTCTATCGGATAGTGTTCATAGCTTCCTACCGAATGCATTACCTGGTGTACAGTTAGGACATAGTCGCCATATTCATTCAGATTCACAGTACCTTCATATAAACGAATATGATGATGATCATGATGGTGGTGATGATAATGCCTATTTAGAGGTATTCATCTGTGTTTATGTTGGATGTGTGTTTATGTAGTGTTGTGGATGTCTTAGATTTTGTATACTTTTCCAGAGAATTTTGTGTATACTCTCTTCAATTTTCAGCCTTTTCCTTTTGACCTGAGTTCTCATCTTATTACTTAGTTACTTGCTATTACTATGTTCTATGCTAAATACTTCGCAGGGTAGATTTCAAATTTGGCGCCATGTTTAAAACTTACAGAACAGGGAAAAAAGTGTTAAAAATGTTCACACTGTGTCTTCAGATAGTTAATCTCTCAAGTTATGTCTGCTATATATGTTAATCTTATTTGGTGTCTTCTTCCATTTTACAACTCACTTGTGTATTTGTGTACTTCATTGCATCTATGTGTTTGTATTCATTCGCTTTCTTCCAAACTGCCAGTTAACCTACATTTTTGTGTATGATAACTTTTTTTTAAAATGAGTTCACCTTTCTTCACTGTTTCACAGGGTCGGACTACTAATGGGCACCAATTCAAGATTAATGAAAAGTCAGTTAATCGTGAGTACAAAGTAAGTTTACAAATTATTTAACCTTTTCTTTTTCTTCTGATTTCAAGTTAGAAAGGAAATGTAACTGATAGGTTTTGTTACGATTAGAACTGAGATGAGGAGACCTGTTTCAGATAACTTCTCAGTCAACATTTTCGTTGAGAAACTCAGTGATACACTAGTCAAGATGAAAATGAACGCTTGGTCAATCGGAAAAAAACATGAGGTAGAACTCTGGGCAATATAACAAAACCCCAAGTTTTCAATGCAATTTTTCTCCATAGCCATTCGTTTCGCCCCACGAATACGTTAACTGAGTAGTCTGATGGTAATGATGATGAGAGCTGAGTCAAAAAGCCATTCGCATGATAGCTAAAGGAAACTCTCAGTAACCGAAGTAAGGCTGAGACATGTTGTATCTTAGCTTTTAAAATATCAAATTGTCAACTTACAAGTTGGTGATATGAATACTCCCAATGTCAACTGTAATCCCTGTAAAACTTATACGTATTTAAATCAATGGATTGCTTATTACCAAGTTATACCAGGCATCACAAATTGCTATGATCAGTTAGTTGAGTTCATTCACTCCTGGATGATGGATCTAAAGTTGTTAAATGACTTGTTTAAAAGTCAACTCACTGTTGCTTGTTTGTGGAGATCATTATGCCACAATATATTTTTGTGTGTTAGTTTCACTGCTTTGTTGATTCACTCTTTTTTATTATTAAAATAAAGGATGCGATACGCCAGAATTTATTCTGTATAGAACTATTGAGTTATAATTCTTTTATGCTATGTATTATAAGGTAAAACAGTATCATCTACTTTATAGCGTTTTGACCAGAATTCCATGCTCTTAAGGTTTATCAAGGATTGATATATTCCTGGTTATTAATATATAAGATTGGACAATTGGGTAGTAAACTTAGGCTTTACTCTTGAGTGTCTTTGAAGCCCTCAAGAACAGAAAAGAAGTAGTAAAACCATAAAAACGTTGATTGTCAAGTGAAGACATGTATTAAAAGTAACAGTATATTTCTACTTTCAACGGCTTTGATATTTTCCACACCTTTCTAGAAAGTCCTTTGTAGCCAATCTGAACTTCACACGAGTATTCACACAAGTGTTCTTCATGCTTTGATTGTCTGTGAAAGCTCTCACGGAATTCCAGGCATGTTTGAAGAGTCTAAGAGGGGTGGGGGGGCATTGATTCACTCTACAACAAGAACCTTGTGATATGATTATTAGCGATGACTTGAGTCCGAAACGTCATCCAGTAAGTAATATTGTTTAACTCTGTAAAACATATAATATAAGAACTGTTATAGAATTATACTGTACCACAGTGCCTTAATCCATCTGACATTTAATGGGATTATGTGAAGATTTTTTGACATCCTTCACTCAACCTATGGTTTATCAAGCATATTTTCTTCTATTTTCAAGCAGAAGAAATGCCTGAAATGTGAAATTCCCCAAAGGTATAAGAAATATTTTCAATGAAAACTGTGTACAGCAAATTTCGGTCGATAATTCTTCTGGCAGCTTCTAAGTTAGCTCTTCGATAGATATATAAATAGATTGGATGGTAGACTAACAACAGCACCACTAAATGCTACCCATAATTAAAGTTATGAAGATTGATATTGAAAAAGAAATCCTATCACTGGCACTATCGTATCACGATAATGTTTTGCATACACTTCAGTCCTACTATGGGTTCATTGCTGCCTAAATACCTCAGTGATAACCTTGTCAAATATGATACGGAGAAACATGTTTTTGAATCTTTAAAATATTGTAATATTCTCCGATGTTTTATACATATATCTTGCGAAGAAAATGCCAAATAATCAAAAGTGATTACATCTTATCGACTGCTAAGGAAATACCTGGGATAATAGAAAACTAAACCATTTTATGTAGGAGTTATTGATTTGGATGAGTAGGGGGTTGCATCAGCCCGTCAAACAGGCTGGTTGCTGACGGCATCTCAGCTTGGATACAGAAGGCTTGTTTAGCATTTGCCATCTTGCGTCAGCTCTGGCTCCAATTGGCGAGATATCTGACTAACTGCTAAAGGAGACGTGTACTGCGCTGCCATACGCTCTCTCCTGTTATATGGCTGTGATGAATAACCATTAAAAGTGGAAGACATGGTGCGGTTGCGAGTTTCCGATTGCAGGTATCTTCGTAGTAGTGCTAGCGTTTGGTGGAATCATCGTGTGAACAATGTTGAAGTCAGGCGAGGGATGCTAGGTATAAAAGACAATTCAGTGGATGAAATTTTTTTGAACTTTCACGTGGCACTAGTCAATGAATATGTTCATTAACCGTTGTCTTCAAGTTGTTTATTCTGTCGTACAACTTTGTCTGCTTTGATATCAGTCTTCTCCTATCCACCTGTTCTTTTTATATTACTGTGAAGTGTGGCAAGTTGAACCGATGCACTTGTATGTGAGGTTCTACGCTGATTTATCTGTCTGTCTAGCTAAGTAATATAGAGCCTATGAACAAAATTTTACTCACTCAGAGACTGTAATATTATTTATTGTCTAATCAAAATTTGATACTATCTTCAAAATAGTATGATAATATTGAGTAATTTCACAAAAATTTAGCAGATCTAAATTGATCTGCCTTAAAAATATTTCATTAGGTGATCATTTAAAAAATATTTTTTTCATATTTTCAAATTTCACTCAGAAATTCAGAGCTTTTGACAGATTATCTTCTGCAGCTCACTCTATTAACTGCAGTTTTTATTGCTAGGTAAAATGGATGGATCATAGTAGAGTAGTACAATTTGTTTGGATCTGCTAAAATGATCTGTACAGCTGTGAGCAGTTCCTTTCAATGACATATAATTGTTGTATATTATACTTAACTAAATGAATGGACCTGGTTATTCAGTCGTTTTATTATTATCATTATTATCGTCATCACTAATGTATTCTTTGAAAGTGAACTTTTCTAAGCAAACCGTAGAAAGGTATAATTTTTAGTTTTTTTCAAATAGGATATAGAAAGGAGTCATCATTACAATACTTCATATTTAAACTAAACGAGTATATTTAGCTTTAAATCGATGTGAAAAACTATTCGTTTCTGAATGAAATTGCTTTTTGTTTTCTTTTCATTTTCTACCTAATTATATAATTTTCCCTCATTATATACTTTTTTAGAAGTATCAAATGAATATTGTCAGTCTAATGCAACGTGCTATCACTGTTTTAAATTTATTCGCTGCAAGTCAATTAGGCCATGATCCTGATACATTACTCACAAAACTCAAAATGAATAAATGTTCTGATCAAAAAGGTTAGAAATTTATGTCTATTCTCTTTGGATAGTATTGTTTTTCTTCTCTCTCTCTCTCTGTCTCTCAGTTTATTGTTTTTCTTCTTTGTATGCTTAGTCAAGGGGAAACATCCTCACTGTTGGCTCCTTCCTTTGCTACTATAGATCACAAGTTCTGACTAGATTCTTAGTGAATACAGTCTAGTCTATGATCACAGTTATCATGAGACTAAGTATATCACCTCCGTAACCATTTAAATGAAAAATATTGAATCAGTTTAAGATGAAATTATTATAAAAAAAAGTAGCTTACAACTAGTCATTTATTAATAATTATAATTTCTCTTTACTGTACTGGATAGAAGTGCTCGATCTGTGTTGAATAGATAGGCTTCTATATGGGTGCCTTAATACTATCTGAATATTCATGGTGGCTAGCAATGGGATCCAGGATGCGTGTTTTGTCAGCTGAATGTACTTGCATCAAAGTTAATGATTATGTTCAAGTGTTTCAAACGATTGCTTAACCCACTGGTTAATTAGGCATGACAATCAGTGTGGTGTCATGTTGTGCACGTTGATATGGATGTTAGTGGGATGGAGGCAATCGTCAGGAAGTCCTGGACCTACGTTTCATGCTTGCTGGCACTCGTCAGCAATGTGTATCTGCAACCTCAATGGAACTGATGTCTCACATGAGAGATTTGAACTTACATCAACTAGTGTTGTAGTTAGCGGCGTTACTACTGAGCTATTCAGGCCGTGATTCACCTCCTAAAAGACTGAAACATTGGATGACACAGGTTCTAATCTCAAAGGCAACATAAGTTCCGTTGAGATTGCAGATTCGCAACTGTATTACTTATTTCACTAATTCTAGACAGAGAACTCACTACAATCTACTCATGCATCAGTGAACCTGAATCTAAGAGGCACATTTGCTGAACAAGTGATCATTTCTATCATAAGAAAAAAATTGTAATTAAAAGAAATAATCTAACCCTTGTTCTTTTTCTTCGGTTCACTGCTAGCTGGTAAGGCAAACTCAGCTGCTGTAGAGAAAGCTAAAGCTCAACATTGGGGTACAATTCGAGCTCGTCTTGAAGTTGCAATAAATGTTGTCCAGGAGAAAGTGGCTAATCTGGAAGCTTACAGGCTGACGAAAACACCATCAATTAATTTATATCCTACACATCATACAATACCGAATATCATTTGGCCAAATAATGCATCATCAGAAACTCATCAACTTTCTGTCCCCTTAGGACGTGAAAGTCCAGACGGTAAACCAAGTGTACCAACAAGGAGTAATATAGTTAGACCGTTTGCATCAACACGAAAAGGATTTAGTCAAGATGAAGTTCCAGGGACTCAGATAGCTTTACTTGTTCAAAATTTACATGATGCTAGTTTGCGTGCAATGTTACACGGTGGTAGACCAGATCGAATCTTCTCCGATATACTTTTACACAGTGAGAAGACTGAACTCACTTCATGTACAGAAGAGAATGATGACCCGTCGAATGGTCCATATGAAACGGAAGAGGTAAACTACTTTTATAAAGAATTACCAATATTTTCGAAAGATGTGCTTTGTAATGGGACAAAAGATCAAACCATTTTTGAAAGTGATTAACTCATTTGGTTGATATTAAAACCAATAACTGAAGAGTCTTATTGAGTACTTATTAGTTACACCATTATATGTCTTGTGAAATTATCCAAATCATCTTTCATCATGGTGTTTTGCAAGCAAAAGATTTTGAACAGACTAGCAGTATGCATAATCTTTGTAAGTCTTAACGTTTGATTCCAAGAATAGACAAAATCACTTTCATAAACTTGAGAAAGAAGTGAACTTTTAAACACTTACGAAAAATGGTAAACTAGTTATTTTCTTGCGATTTTGTGGCTTGTCAGTGGGTCATATAAATTCACTATTTGTTTATAGTCACCATAAGTCATAATGACTAACTGTATGACATATTTCCACATGAATTCTTTGTGTTAACCAGCGTGCAATCACGATAACCACTGAGGAAACTATTTATGTTCCATTCGAAATGAACTGTCTAGATGGGAACTTGAGCACCCTAAGTTTGAATGCCTCAGAGTTCTGTTTTTCTCTTTTATTCCCTGTTCTCTCTAGTTGACTATTCTCAATAAGGACAAACTCGCTTCTGCAGTCGAATACTGATCATAAAATGGTGAATATGAACCACTGGAAAATTACAAATTCGATTGTTAATTTGATGACATGACAATCAGTGACAATATTAATTACTGGATGATAGTCCGAACAGAATTTATCTTCATAATCATATCAGAGTAATCATACAATTTTCAAACTTTCTTCACACTGCCCAATGGTTCTTCATTCAATTATTTTAATGGCAGTAAAATTTTCTAGATGTTTGCAATGTGCCATGAATATTCCTATTACATGTGTTAGGTGTTGACTGAATTTTAAAAGATTCTGTGATCAATCTCTCCCTCCTTCCATCTCGCTCGAATGGATTTTAGAATTGTCACTCCATCCCAACCTCCATATAGTGTGATTATGAGTGAGTGGATGCAGGGTGATAACGCGGGTTTTTCTCTAAATCACTTGACTTATCTTAGTAGGTTTTAACATTGTATACTTCTGATAATTTGGTTGATTGTGGCTAGCCCAAGAATCCAGGATGCGCGTTTCGATACAATAAAACAATGGAGAATGATAAGTAATTATATATTTCGTTATAATTCTTTGCTTCCCAAGTCTGATTGACCCAGATCGGCTGCTTTAATCGATAAACTTGACCTCGTAATTATTACGTTATTCAACAGACTAGGTTAGTTTTCATAAGTGGCTGTACTGATATTTTAGCCTACAAAGTTTTTCTCTGAGTGAGTTTCTGGGTTTAAATGCCACCCTTATCCCAGCATTGTTAGGAATTCTGCATAAAATCTCCTGTGTGCTTTTTTTATATGGCAGCACTAAAAAGGAACAGAACTCTGTCGTAGATATGTTGAAGTCACCACTAACATTAAAACTCTATCTATTATCGGTCTTAGGAAATCTTTTGATGAATTCCAGAGGGTAGTTGTTAAGTAATAGTGTCTCTTTTACGCGATTTGGTTCTTTGTTCAGGTTTTCTAACTAACTAGTCAAACTCCTAGCTCGATTACTTCGACATTTTACCAGGCCTACTTTGATAGACATAAGATGACATGATTTGAAATCCAAGTATCTATTGGAATGTGTTGGATTCCTATAAACACTGGCATCTAAGCTTCCGCCTTCTCCCCTCTTGATTTTGCGATCCAATATAGGTGTTTCTCGTTCTTCATTTTCTAGTTCATAAGTGAATTGGATTTCATCTACTGTTGGGTTTCTTCACACATTAATATTAGTATCCAGTAGAGCCACTAATGAAAACTAACCTAATCTGTTGAATAACATGTAATGATTGTGAAGTCAAGTTTATCGATTAAAGCGGCCGATCTGGGTCAGTCAGAACTGCGAAGCAAAGAACTATAACAAGATATGCAATAGTAATGATGGATAGTGGCTAGCAGTGGAGTCCGGGACGCGCATTTCATCCTGTTTGGGACTCGTCAACTGGATGTATCTGCCCCCCAGTGAGTGCTGTTCCCACCGGGATTCAGACTCGAGGGCGGTCACTTCAAACGCGAGAGCGTTATCCACTAGACCACCGAGCCACGATGGCCAGTTCTTGTACGACTGGTAGAGTCTTACTGGTATTGCTTGTATTACACCGTCATTGACTGGACCGAATTGACCGGTCTCTACTGGCATATTAGCTAATGTGCGGATGCTTCGATATTGGCTGTGTTCTTAACGATATGCATCATTACTATATAGTTAATAACATGGAATATCAAGGCATCCGCACATTAGCTAATATGCCAACAGAGACCGATCAATTCGGTCCAGTCAATGACGGCGTAGTACAAGCAATATCAGAAGTATACAATGTTAAAACCTACTAAGATAAGTCAAGTGATTTAGAGAAAACCCGCGTTATCACCCTGCATCCACTCACTCATAATCACACTATATGGAGGTTGGGATGGAGTGACAATTCTAAAATCCATTCGAGCGAGATGGAAGGAGGGAGAGATTGATCACAGAATCTTTTTAAAATTCAGTCAACACCTAACACATGTAATAGGAATATTCATGGCACATTGCAAACATCTAGAAAATTTTACTGCCATTAAAATAATTGAATGAAGAACCATTGGGCAGTGTGAAGAAAGTTTGAAAATTGTATGATTACTCTGATATGATTATGAAGATAAATTCTGTTCGGACTATCATCCAGTAATTAATATTGTGTCACTAATTGTCATGTCATCAAATTAACAATTTTACTCTGCCACGCTGCCCAGGTGTTTTTCTTACACCATGAAACTATTGGAGTTTAGTCTTTCGGATAAACTTTATGAAACCGGTGTACAATATACGCCGTACATCTTTTATCTAGTTACATTTCTCAGTTCTACTGCTTTTTAGTTTAGGATGACAAACTGTTTTACGACAAATTGTTTGAGTATTTATTTCATGTTCAACAGTTTTGCGGTTCTCTTGAGAAAAATTTTCAATAGACTTATTGCGAGTGAATGGTTGGGCCTTCTTGTATTGTCACCATCATAAATAGGTGATGACGCTGATGAAAATCAAGTCAGTAAAAGTAGATTCAGATATCCACATGTGCCAACTATCTACAGGTTCATACACCAGGTAACAAGCAGCCTTTATTATGCAAAGACCACAGATGCTAATTGGTGACTTAAATCTTAGTACAGGTGGCAGATTGTAAACCGGTGACTTCATTTGTTAAGAGTTAACTGTCTGGGAAAAAAGTTACAGTTTCATTTTACTACAACCAGTCAGGTATCAGTGACAAGCTTTGTGATTGTCATCTTGAACTGTTATATTTAGTAACCTCTCAGTAGTATTGTCCTATGAGTTCAAACATCATCGATTAATGCTTTACTAGATTTCGGGTACACCCAGCTAACGAGTGCCGAACAGGACGAATCGCGCATCTTGGGTCCCTATGGTAGTCACTATGATCAATATAACACAGTCGATTAACTTTATTTTAGATGCATCGTCTTCGATTTTCCAGCTGTAAAAAAAATGACCGCCACGTTCCTCCTAAATGCGAAACAGTTGACGACTTATACTACTACTGAACAACTTGACCAGTTAGAAACCACTCAGGTTGATCTGTTCCTTTCCCTAACCGACCATTTATATTATACGATTCGAGTGACTAGCATGTAGAGGCCAGACAGTGTTGATATACAACCTCATATTCTTCATTATATTAGGTACACTTTTAACGGTTATATTCCGAAGCTGTGACTCTCATCTAGTATTCCACACCATGTGTCAGTTTCATTGAAATTGCTATTTGGAAGAATATTTTAGGTATAATTCAAGCTTATTCCTCAAAAATGATGCTATGGAATTCTCTAGCCAGCCATTTTTGACCATGGTATTTTGTTTCTGGAATGCCGCTATCAGCCTTACAAATAAGGAACAGTTAGTAGTTAATGATGAATGCTCTCAGCTTACTAAAAATGATTTCATTTAGAAAGTGTTTTAAAACAAAATATCTGGTAATATATTTATGTGTATATATACCTTCGATAAAACTTATCCATCAAATATAGACAGAAACTTGGACAGATCAGGAAATGATCATTCTCACTAGCTCTCCAATGCAAGCCAGCTTATTTCCCAGAAGCCGAACAAAAATTGAAACCAGTGGAAACAGAAGTATTGAAATAAGCAAGGACGATATTGTTGAGTATATCGAAAGTGATGGAAGTGGGTAAATCAGTGCCAGTATGATTGTTTATGAATCACACTACTGAAGACCTCAACCCATTAATTCCTAACATCTCGAATACTTCGCCTAGAAAGCCTTTGTCTTAAAATCGAGTAGTTTCACAGGTGATTTCATTGTGTGAGGCAAGTTATCTTCATATCAGTCCATCCTCACAAACCAACCAATTGAAGAAAAATCCAATGTGTAATGGTATCCAAAATTTTAGAGATGGGTGTTCCTACGTTTTAGTAGGAATGGTGTGGTCGCTTGAGTCAATCGAACTGATGGCGGTACCAGTTACTGATCGTATTGTTCAGTCACCACCAAATTGCGTTTGTTAACGTCTGCATGCCCAACTGCTCCCAGTAGTGCCATCTAAGTGTCTCGGGTTGAAGCTATATCGATTCAGTGTTTCACCCTACTGAATAGTCTAGTAACAGGATCGAACAGCTTTCCACTACTCCAATTTTGTTAACTTCTCAACCTGTCTGTTGCTTCTAGATGAAATTTTCGAGGCTTTAATAGAAAGATGTGACTCGCAGGACGAACGAAGTCGGACGTGAGAACAGGTTCTTAACTACCGCATTGGATGGTGGTCACGATATATTGAGAGCTGATGCAAGTAGGATTCTGACCAGTCGACTAAATGATAGCGTGTAAAACCCGGAGCCTGAAGGTTCTAGCCTCGGTTGCTGTTGGGGTCATGGGCGTGCATTGCTCAGGAGTCACATACTGGGAGGGAACAGATGTTGTTTACCTGACCGTTTTCAGTGGCCCCCAAACTCATGTTAGTTCGTGACAAGTATCAACTTAAAGCCTATTTTTGAAGTAAATTTGGGTTTTAGAAAATATGTGTTTGATTTCCCTTAATGGCTGGCGAAGTCTAAACTCACTACTTGTCGTGTTCGAACAAACAACGCCGTATTTCCTCATCCTACATCGATTGGTGTTCTGTAGCGTGACAAATCACTCGATGTTTACGCTTTAGTGTGGTGAACACAGATACGTAGAGACACATAACTAGTACACGATAGGCCTTGTTCAAGTATAAATAGAAAGTAATATGTTATCACAAATGATGACAGGATACCGTATAAGAATTTTCTCTTTCTAACTGTTCTAAATTTAACTTACATGTGTAATACTAACCAGGAATTTCTTTTGTCCACTTTCTCTCACATATACATTGACACTTCTGTTGAAGTTCCTACATACTGAAGCTGAACGGACTGTTGTACTTGTTGTACGTCGATATTTCTGCCCTGCTCTACGTGATCTCATTGAACATGGTCTCATAAAGAAGGCTTTGTCAATGATTGATGAAAATTCACCTCTTGGTTTAGTTAATAAACGAAGCATTTTCCTACTTCGTCCTATTCTAAACTGTTTAGACTTAAAATCAAGAAATTATTCAGAGGATGGATTTGAGTCTTTAGACTTGAATGAACCCTCATTGAATGATGAACTGTACACAAAATATTCTTCAGTATCTCGTTCTAATCATTTGGGATTTCATGCTTGGGATGTATTAATGAAGTTTTATCAAATCAAAGTGAGTTAAACACTGTTGTACAATTAATGAATACTTGAAAAATGTTATTATTATTATTAATTATTCAAGTGATAAGTTATCTAGTGTGTTGACCAACTGGTTCCTGCATCTTCATTCATTGAATTTCTAACTGCATGAGTCTGTGAGTTGACCTAATTTTACATCACGGTCTATTGTCACTTTGCTGGTTACATGGATAGTCACAAATGATAGACATGGAAAGAAGTTATCTCTGTGTTATGGTGAGTGATTCTGTTTCCGACCTCACTTTCAGTTCTCACTCATCTCTTCCTCAATCTCAACATGTTATCAATGTCTATGTTGCTGTTCATCATGGACTGGCATCAGTTGAAGCACCATAGGAAACCTGAGAGCCCTGGATAGCTGTTTCCTCTCAGTATGGGACTCCTGACCAGTGTGCAGCTATAACTCCGTCAAGGGTGGAACTCAGAATCTTCAGGTATCGTGACAAGCATATTATTCATTGAATTAGTGGGTTGGAATCTAATAGTCCACATTATTTTGTTTCGGTCACTTGAACCACAAGCATCCATATTATCAATATCAGTAATTCAGAACACCATAAAGATAGTTGCTCTTTATGAATTGTTTTATCAATTTACTGAAGTTGCCTCAAGTTATTATGTTAAGGATTAATAGTTCCGTTAACGTTATGTATGTAAAAAGAACTTGAGCACACCTTTATTCAAATGAAATGCAACTTTCTATGTAACCAATGTGCTAAAGATGGTTTTAAGCGAAGGATAAGGCGAACAGTTAGTCATATTCAGTTAAAGGATATCAACGTCGATAAAGTCATACTTTTGCATTTGACTATAGTTCCACGTAGTATACTTTTGAAGAATTAACACAAGGCAAATCAGTGGTGAAGAATTTCCTCAGCGTCATTTATGAAATCGGATCTAACATTTCGAAGGGAGTGCACATTCGCCACCTGAAAGTAGCTGAATCCTTGGCAGTTCATCATTTCAAATCTGATGACCCTATAATCCAAAGGAGATATCTTCAATCTCTCATTTCGCTTCGTGCATAATCTTTCTAAAACGTTTTACTAATTTGTTTTGTTTATCACCCTTTCCGTACTCTACTTCATATTCCAATAAAAACGCTCAGGGAATAGCAAACCTTCATTGTAATCACCTTGTGTTTACCTTGCAGCCACTACCTTGTGTTGTAGTATGGAATAAAACCGCCAAAATCTTCATAGGAATGATTGATTCTGCACCTAGCCCAGAAATATGAAAATACTACTACCTTTATCACAAAGAAGGCCATAAAGAACTAGAACCATGTAAGGCACCTATCTCATTAAGGTATGGAGTTACCAGGTGTCAATATGGACAATGAAGTAGGTCCTAGACGTTTTCAGTTGATAATACTGTTCCTTCACTGTGTGACGTCTAATAAAAAAACTGAAATGGAACTGAAGTTATGCTTAAAAGTTACTTAACTGGAAATTCAAAAAAGTGTAGCATATTCCTAATGACAGTTTGGACCAGTTTTCACTGTATGGTAGAAAAATAGTTTATCAGTTTTAGCAGCTCAATTCTGTTAGCTATTTTATTAAGTGCGTCTATTCAACTTTAATATTTCTATTTATTTCCCATGAAATTTACCTCAAGTCTTTGACATACACTATGTTCTATTATTTTCGTTTTCTTTGTATACTACTTATTAGTAGTTGACCTCAATTTGAGCATATATTTCTTGCCCTTATCCACTTTCTGAGGCGAATCTTTTTCATAAAAGGCGAAATATTCTATCACATCGTATTTTCCATCTTTAGCTCCACTTCGTTCATTTTGCTTATGTTCATCATAATTAAATCTAGCATAACTTCTAGTCACTTTGAGAATATAAGACAACCACCGTTTTTTAACTGATCCCATATGCGTCCATAGAATATCCTATGATAACATGAAGTACAGAGAGGTTGTTGAGCTACTTCAGCTTTCATGACAACCTTATTTAGTAGAAACCTATGTATTAGAAGTTAGTGTGAAGGCTGCTTAGAATGTTTGCTAATGGAGTCTATGGAAGCGATCATCTAGGAAAGTAATTTTTATCACGAGTTGACGTCAGTTGAAGAACCACTGAAGACCTAGGAACACTGGACTGCTGTTTCCTCCTAGTTTTGGACACCTCAGAATTGTGTATCCAAGAACTTACATGATATCGAGCCTACAATCGTGAGGTTTCACTTTGAGCTCTTTAGAATTCGGTCACTAGTTTGTAATTCAATGGTCTCCTCATTCCTACTGTTGTCGATTCGTTTGCTTCTAGCTACATATCTTGAAGTTCCGATAAGAGTTCGTTGCCTGTGAGACCAGATGTCCAGTGATGAAACAACATTGTCTTACTCTCACTTCCATGAAAGTAGTGTTCATGAAACGTGCCACGGAGAAATGTGGTCAAACTTATGAGCGTTGAAAAACTAATAGTTTAGGAGAATTAAGGGAAAGTATTAGCATTGTATTGAAGGAGAAGTTGTATCAATATGCTCACAGGTTACCATGAGCGATTCAAAATAATTTGCCACTTTCCGTGGTGTGTTGTATTAGATGGAATAAGAATAAGGTTAAAATACCTAAAATGGGCAGATTAAGAGTTGGTATTAAACTGCAGAGTAACTCGGTCTTCAAGAGTATAGGCTTTGTCGTTAATATTCTACCAAGCAGCTTGAATTGGTGGTCTAGCAGTTTAGATGATAACAGACAGAAGAGATTCCAGAAGCGAAAATGCATCCATATGACATCGCTGAACAACATTTCATGATGTACATCCACACTATTTACTTAGTTCTCTTTCTGTTTTGAAGCCTTTAGCAACTTCTGATATTGTTATTTTCATTACCTTAACTCCTGCTGACTAGTCCATTGATATTTTGATGTAAGATATTGCAACCTATTTGCATATGTAACGACAAGTTCAGTGTTCCATATCCCTCTCTGTCTGACACATCAACTCATGAAGTACGTTAAGAATTACTAGAGACCTAAATATGGAAAAATCATTACTAGTATTATTATTAATATTACGTAACTTTTATTCTTCTGAGTTCTGATTGACATTGTTTATTTAAATGTTTGCAATACCATGCTATTCCCATTGTTCTTATCATCACTGAGATAATTATTATTATGATTGTCTAGATATCTACTATTTGAATGCTTCATTTCTTAATTATCACAGACTAAATAATCCACCATGATTAGTTTAATGTTTCATATACGATTAAATTTGTGTCTGATGAGAGCTAATTGAAAACAATATATTTTTCACTTGTATGTCTTCTTCTAATTTGAGCAATGGGAATTTTTAACATTCTTAAAATTATTGACGGCTGATGTAACTTTGTGTTATTGAAGTGGTTCTGCCTAAGCTTCAGCCTGTCTTCGTGTAGCGTTTAAGATTCAAATCTCATTCTACAAAAGCTGTCTGATGAGTAGAACATGGTTAGCAACGAGACTTGCTATTAAAGTGAATAAAAAGAAAGTAAAATAGGCCCCATTATCTTACAGTTTGCTAGACAGTCGTGTTACTCTACTCCTAGGATCCATCTTGAACAAGTATGCACTACATGATAAACCTTAAGAGCGTTCACTGCTAGGCTCCTACCGTATTTTTCACCGTATTACTGCGACTGAATCCATCCGTTAATTTGTAATTATCGAGTTGAGATGGTGTGTTATCGTTTCTTGTCATCCGGAAAATCATAAAGCGTGTACAGACGTGACTGTAGACAATTTGAAGATGTGCAGAAAAATGATGAGTAGACAAAAGATGATCATATAGACCAGACAAATGATGGTCACTGGACTCTTGATATCATTCATGTTTACTTAATATCCATCTCTTGAAGAACCTACAGGAGGGAAATCCAAAGGAATAAAAACCGTTTAAGTAGTTAAATCAGTTCTTATCACCTAATAAGCGGTGATAGATTGGTAAGAAATGTCGTCAAAAGCCACTACTGACCATCGAGAGGTTGCATATAAGGAGACCAGGGTAGGAAATATGCTTCACTGCCTCACAAGCTATTCATCGTAATGCAAAGCTTGTAAATAAACATGACAGAAGACAGTGATAGTTTCACAAATCAATCAACTATTTTTGAGCGAAGATCTAGAATTGGATTCATTAAGATGCTATTGGAAGTCATTTTTGCATGAGGTGAAACTCCAACCAAATGAATTTAGGCGTTCCCTCTGAGCTTAGGTACAGAGAAAAATGTTGGTTCAGTATACTCTGTAAGGCGAGGGTTATCATATAGCATGTTTTTTTTATTTAGCTGTATAACCACTTCAGATCCATACCACTACGCACAAACTTTATTCATTAATTTTATACTACTCATGAGTAGTTGATATTTGTATCGAAAGTTTCCTTCGTCCTTTGTAGCGTTTCATGGGTTAGCTCAACAGCTGTCTCGACAAACTGTAGTTTACATGATACCTATGCTTGTGTAACTTCAGACGTGATTGTGCATTCTGCACTTATCATTCATGAAAATAAAATTATTTTATGATTACTGCAAAGAGTGGAACTTTGTACGGCAATGAAAACATTTATTCCGGTGAATCTAGCACTTATTTTGCATTGTGAAAAGTTGGAACGGAAACCTTCACTTTCGAAATGTACATCACTGTCACACATGAAATTCAGTTAAGAGGATATTTTGTCAACTTTCCAGATTAATTTAGTTAGTGGCTTGTGGTTAAGCTATTGATTGATCAACACTTCCCTCGGGTATTCGCTTGTGAAAAATATTCTCTACATACTAATTTTATTGTTATTGCTTGTATTTTATGCTCCAATATTCTTCAGTTGGCGTTCTTGATAAGTGATTCGTTGCACTTGACATTTCACACTGAAGCTAGTCAACTTTATGTCCGTAAATTCAGCGGATTACTTAGACGTAATTCTATTTTAGCTTCACTTATCCAGTGTATAACACAGTGTAATAGTATTATTTTCTGAGTACCATTTTGAGTACAATTTATTCCCCACAGACTTCTCAAGTTCTCAGAGCTAACCTACCTATGCTGTTCCAATTCGTAATTCACGAATGAATTTTCTTTTACCTCCATCAATAAATTTATATGCACAAGAACCTATATCACTCATCGATTTCATCACTGTAAATGTGCCATTTTCATGTCTCAATCACAGTTTTGGGGTAGGACTGAGTGTTTTAAGGGCCATCCGTTTCCACCAACCCACAAGTATGTCTGTCATGATAGGGGATGGCAAGTGTCTCACATGGCTCCGCATACTTTTCTTCCAAAAATGTTAAGATCAAACATAACTGCATTCCTAGCATGCTCTCATCCTTTGCTGCACCCGACTTCGAAGCGTAACCTCATGGTCAGCGATAAACTGAGTTCCAAATGTCTTCAAAGCCACTCCGATCAGCTTACTAGGACACTAGATCCAACTGTCTCTTACTATCATCATCTAATTTCATACCATCAAAAAGATGCTTCAAGGTATAAGAATTAGTAAGTGAAGATTTTGAAGAGTTTCCCCTCAACCTAATACCATCGAGTTGAGTATTCAAAAAACAGGCTAAAGTCGAATAACAATCTACCCCACTCCATTATATTTATGCTTGGAAGTTTTGAATCTAGTCCACTTCACAGGCAGTTATAAACACGCCTATCAAGTGGTATTTTTCATGTTACATTTTAGAATGGTCCACGTTATAATGACTCACCAGCAAGAAAACTATGTGAAAGCTTTGATTTAGACACTGTTGGTGGGATGGTGATAACAAATCGTCAGGTAATTTGCTAAACATGTTTCAACTTTTAATGCATTTAACCGAAATTTAAAAAAATTCTAAGAAAATTGAATTATTACTCAAAAGTGATTCAATTGGATGTTACTGGTGGAATCTACGAATCAACATGAGTGGATTTCAACTACTCAAGTTGTTTATTAGTAGTATATAGTGATAGTTGATGTTACTTTTATGTCACAGAGTACACCTTGTGATCCTGCCTGATGGTTAGTTTCTAATGGGAACCCCATGGAAACATCAGAGTTGATTGGGAGTTGAAAAGCTACTCAGTTATGAGAAGTGTCAATGTGGGCCGTGTAATTTGTAGATCACTTGCAATCTGATCATCCTATTTTAGGTGTACTGGTTCATGTAAGTCAGCTAACCAGACAGATTTAGCTGCTGTGAAGAGTTTGGCTGTATGAACTAAATTTGACTTGTCTGGGTACACTGCTGGTGAACAGGGATCCAAACAAGAGAAACGACCATTTGGTGATTAGATTAAATCATTCTGATCTGACTGGTGAGATAGAAATGATAGAACGAATACAAAGGAAACATGAGAACAGTGCTGATGAGATGAGACACTTGAACTGGATACGAAAAGTGACTGTTCTCCCTCAGAACCTTTTGCTCCACTGACCCATGAAAATCACAAGACGAAAACAGACCTGCGACTGTAAGGAAAACTCTTTATTCGACAAAAATACATCATTTATATTCAGTTTTCGTGAATATATTAAACCAATTGGACAAAAGTGATTGGTCAACTTTAAAATAAATTGTCCAATAAGGATTTTTCTGACTACACAGTGACACGAAGCAAAAATAGAAATCCGAAAACTCCTAGCTTAGTGGCTGATGATTTATAACGTTGATTTCCATTTCGTCCGCTTCCCATTGGAAATTGATGTATCAGCGTGAGTGTTTCTTACTACTCATGTTATGATTAGTATTATTTGTCTAAGGTAAATCTATTTGGCACACCGAAGTGGGATAAAGAATACAGAGAGATTTAGACTACAAAGACTGTATATACTGCTGAGAATTTTCTACTGTAAACAAAACCGTGGTTCGGAATAAAGTAAATATATAATTATTATTCAAAATGAACTCATGCTTTTGCTTTCAAATTAGAAAACTTTTCATAACAAACAGATACGGTATATCTGTTACCCTTGGAAACGTTCACTTTATTATAGTTGCTGTCTAATAGCCTTCTTGTAAAGTCACCTAATAGTTAATTAGCTAAACTTCCTTTTGAATGACTTTTGGAAAAGATTTCCAACCACTAAAGAACATTTGTTCAAACCTTACCGAGTTTATTCTTCTCACTGTTTCATAAACAGCTAGCTGAACTAACGAAAAATGCAATTCACTGTCTACAGTAATCTTTTGTGACTGATTTGTAATTCTTTAATCTCCTGTTTTGCAGATTTCTGGATTAGGTCAACTAGCCTTTGGTGATATATGGGATCCATATAAGAATCTCCCAACTTCGTCATGAGATTTGTTATGGTGTCATCTGTTTGAAAGTATCCAGAAAAAAGGTTTTAGGACACGGGTTTCATCATACCTAATATTCCTCAGCCACATCATAATTATAGCGTTCATTGTGAAACTGAGATTCAACAATGATTATTCAAAAACACCAAGTCACAAATTCATACAAGAAACCTATATACCAACACATGTCTATCACTACGATTCAGCAACACGAAAAAGAGGAAACGAGCGGTTATAAGTGTTCTCGTGACTGAGCAACTTCAAAGACGACGCTCTGGTAATTGAAGTGCAGGGTATGGGTACTAGGTTTGAATGTAAGCGTTAATATCAACGCAAACATAAACATATTTAATTATCAAGTCCCGGTAATGGATAAGAACATACTTCCAAGATCCAACTGATAACTACCATCAAATAAATAAATTCACCGCCTTATATAAGTTATCAAGAGAATCAAATTCTGTATTCAGTGAAATTAGATCAATCAGAAAAGCTCTTTAACAACTTCTTCTTTTACACTCATGTCTGTTTTTTATCACCCCTTTTCACAACTTTAAATTTTTTATCTAATCAGATATAAATTATCATTGATTATGACTAGGATTTGTGATTATTAATTCTGTGTTTCCTCGACTCACTCACTTTCTTATTGCAGCTGATGAAAGGGCTCAATTTATTCTGCAAATATCTTTGTTCTTGCTTTATTCAAATTTGTCAGAGGAAATAAATACGTGACAAAACTGTAGTGGATAACTAACAGAATTGTATTCAATGCATGCTCCAGTATATTAAACAGACTTGTTTTCTCGAATGTTGATTTACTGCTTCTTGTTCTCTGAATAAACAATCAAGATAATGACGCTGACTATTTTCCAACCAACCTCGCCTGGTTAAGTGGTTCACTAGTTACTAGCCGGTCCTAAGCCCGGGTAAAGAGGGAAGGTTGGGCATGGGCTAGCAACCCTACCCGTAAAACTAACCTAACCGGTAAGGAAACTTCAAAGCACAAACAAAATATAAAAAATAAAAACAAAATTATTCTTTGCTGGAATCGGGGGGACGAAATGACGCCGGCTGGTGAAAGCCTTTGGGAAGCCAATTAAACGATGTGTCTTCTCTCAATGAAAGCGAAAGTAAACTTGGCGACATGGAATGTCCGCACGATGTTTAAACCCAGCAAGGCAACCCAGATTGCAAGCGAGATGAAGAGGTATCACATTGAAGTGCTTGGAATTTGCGAAAGTGGATGGAATGGGAGTGGACTCTCGAAACTGTCAGCTGCAGAAGCAATAATCTACTCCGATATTGTCACCCAGACGACAACCACGAGCACACTGAGCTTTGGAGTGGCTATCATGATGTCCCCAAGAGCATCGAAGGCCCTCATGCAGTGGGAACCAATCTCCTCATGCAGGATCATGACAGCAAGATTCAACTCAAAAGGAAGGAAGGTCACAATCATACAGTGCTATGCACCTACAAATAATGCAGAGCAAGAGAAGAAGGAGGAATTCTACAGACAACTTCAATCAACACTAGACAAGACGTCAGTTGGCGATATCAAAATTCTAATGGGTGACATGAATGCCAAACTGGGAGTGGACAACTCAGGAAGAGAACTAACCATGGGTCGAGAAGTGCTCGGTGAGGTGATGAACGAGAATGGAGAATTGTTTGCAGAATTCTGCGCATTCAACGATTGGTGATTGGAGGCAGTGTGTTCAGGCACAAGGGTATCCACAAAGCGACATGGATTTCACCAGACACCGGACACACTAAAAATCAGGTCGACTTCATCTCAATCTCAAGAAAATGGAGATGCAGTCTACTTGACACAAGGTCAAGAAGAGGAGCAGATGTAGGTTTAGACCACTATCTAGTGCAAGGAACCTCCCAAATCAAATTAAAAGCCTTCAAGGAAGCTGGTGATAGACCTCAGTTTAAGTACAACACTCGGAAACTGAAGGATGAAACTACAAAGGAGATCTTCAAGGCAGCCATCAAGACAAAATGAGAGACATCGAGCAGCATCCCTGAAGAAACCTGTGTGGAAGAACACTGAAAGTCTTTGAAAGCTATGTGGAAAGAAGCCTGCACAACAGTATTAGGAAGGAAGAAGGTGGAAGACAATGAATGGATCTCGACGGATACCTGGAAGCTGATAGAGGAGAGGAGGATGGTGAAGCAGAAGATAAACCAATGCAAGGATGCTCAACGACAAGAGGAACTGAGCACAATGTATAAAACACTGGACAAAGAAGTGAAGAAGAGTGCACGCAAAGACAAAAGACACTTCTACGACACACTGGCAAGTGAAGCAGAACAGGCTGCAGGTAAGGGAGACCTGACGACATTGTATCAAATAACCAGGTTGCTATCAGGGAAGAGACCAACACAGATGAAACCAATAAAAGATGAAGAAGGAAATTTAATTACAAAAGAAGAGAAACAGAGGAAACGATGGGCCGACCACTTCAAGAAGCTCTTGAATCGACCACCACCTGCACTTCGTCCAGAAATACCACCTACAACCGCTGAACTACAAGTGAACATAGATCCTCCAACAAAAGTGGAAGTTCTAAACGCCGTAAAGCCACTGAAATGCGTGAAAGCGGCAGGACCAGACGAGATCCCGCCAGAAGCACTGAAAACAGACGCAGAGACAACAGCGGACATGCTCGCACCACACCACTATTGCAGAAGGTGTGGAAGGAAGGTAAGTTACCTGCTGATTGATTGGAAGAAGGGTTACCTTGTCAAACTGCCGAAGAAGGGAGACCTCAGTGTTTGCAAGAACTGGCGCAGAATCACTCCTGTCCACCCAAAGCAAGCAAAATATTAAGCCGCATCATCCTGGAGAGGCTAAAGGATGCACTGGATTCAAAACTACGACCGGAACAGGCTGGCTGGCTGGCTGGATTCAGGAAGTACAAATCATGTGCGGACAAAATTGAAACGCTTCGCATCATCATAGAAGAGAGTATAGAATAGCAGTCAACCCTCTACCTACACTTTATTGACTTTGAAAAGGCCTTCGACAGTGTCGACCAACAAGTAATTTGGCAGGCAACTGCTTCAACACTACGGAGTGCCACAAACCTTTATCAATCTCATTCAACAACTATATGAAGATGCCACATGCCAAGTAATTCACAATGGGAAGCTCAGTGATGCTTTTGAAGTGAAGTGAAGACAGGAGTGAAACAAGGTTGTCTACTATCCGCCATGATACTCCTGATTGTGGTCGACTGGATCATGCAGCAAACAGTGGGGAGCGAGAAGAGGAGGATACTCTGGACAGCCGAAAAGAATTCAGAAGATTTGGATTTCGTCGATAACTTGTGTCTGATGTCACATAAACTTGAAGATCTACAGACAAAAACTAACAAGTTGGCAGAAGAGGAGAGGCAGCGAAGTCTGGACTTCAAGTGAATATAGAGAAGACAGAGATGATGAAGATACCGCACCAACAACAACAACAAACTCCAATCACCATCAACGGGAGAAACTTGAAGGAAGTAACCTCCTTCACCTATCTAGGAAGCACTGTTTCAGCTGCAGGCGGCACAGACGAGGATATCAAAGTCAGGATCAGAAAAGCAAGACAGGTGTTCATTAGCCTGAAACTAGTGTGGAGATCTTCTGCACTCAGCATGAAGCGTGAACAATATCCGGATTTTCAACACCAACGTCAAGTCAGTGCTCCCGTGTGGTTCAGAGACTTGGCACGTTACGAAAGGGATTTCCAACAAACTATAAACATTCATCAACAACTGCCTACGCTGGCTCATTACTGAAGACCAGATGACCAGAATAATAAGAATAAGCAACAAGGAACTCTGGCTGTCAACGAACCAACCAAGAGCCTATCGCTCATCATATATGCAGAAGGAAGTGGAGATGGATTAGGCATACACTAAGAAGACCGACTGAGGACATCACGCATCAGGCCGGTCACTCGAGTGGAACCCGATGGGAAGCGACGAGTTGGGCGTCCGAGGTGAGGGTGACATGGAGGAGATCGTGCGAGGAAAAAATGAGAGCTTCTGGGCTGTCATGGAGCCAGGTTGAAAAGATTTCCGAGAACAGAATGCACTGGAGATATGTTACTGAAGCCCTATGTTCCATTAGGAACTCAAAGGACTAATAATAATAATAATAATAATAATAATAATTTTCCAACCAATATCCCAAATTACCGGCATTTTAAGAATATACAGTGACGGGATACTAAATGTGCCCAAAATATCCGAAAATTTATGTTTTCTGCTTCCTTTTTGTTACATCAGCCATAGAGCGAAAGTGAAACTTGAATCTCAGATAATTGTCACTGATTCTATTGTTTCATTTTTTCTAAAAGTTGTTCCACTTACCATCTAACTAGTAACATTATTGTTTAGCTCGTTTCAAGTGTTTTTGGGTGACTCCTTACTCGCTTCTGTATGACTTAGATTTCGGAAATAAGTCCATGTTGAGTAAAACCCTTTGCTTTGTAGTATCGCATATTTCGCTCATGAAATTGGTTGTTTCATTTTTATAGGTGATAGTGCATTACGATGACATACAGATGCATGAGATCATCTTAAAGACAGGGACAATAAGCAGCAGACTTTGTGTTCTGTTTTATGCGCTTGGGAGGAGAGAATCGCGTCACATATAGTGGGGGTGGATTGAGTATACGAGACTGGGCAAGCATATTCAAGACCAATCACGTTCAGGGTCAGCGTGAATACTAAACCGAACCACGTGTTTAAGTTAATTCCAGGCAGGCAAGTTATGGAGCGGTTTTGAAGGCCACCCTAACAACTGATGAAACGACCAATCACGCTTCTTTATTCACTGGAAAATTGTTTTCCCAGTTAAAATATCGCAGCCTGATTAGTTATTTTGGGCGTTGTTAGGATGGCCTTTAAAGTCACCCGAAATTATGGGAAATTGGCGACGAATTTAAATCAGGAACATAATACTTTTGCTTATCAATGTTTCTATTCATGAGTTATTGATTGATTGATAGGTTTAGGTGATATACAACAACAGAAAAGTTGATAAAATTAAATAATGAGTTTACTTTTCTGATTTATAATTAATCCAGAGATTCTTCAGTGCTATGGGTAATGTTCTTCGAGGTCATCTGGCTTACAAACGCAGTAAAGATGCTAAATTTAAAGCGTTTGTCAGTATTGCACTCAAGTAAGTCTATATCATGTGTAATTGTGAGAAATTTCAAATCATCTGTAACCTATTCTCATGAGTAATCGATTCACTTCTATGCATAAAAATGAGATCTACAAAATTCCCTCATTTTCTCTACGCAAAGAAACACTGTTTAAACACAAGTACACAACTATTATTGGCATACTGAACTGTAATTATAATAACCATGAAGAGATACTTTTTGGTTAGTATTCAGTTTACGAAAAGCAAACTCGAAGAGTCAAAATGCACTCAACAAATTTGTGTACATTCATGCAGCAAGAAATGAGGTACACCTATTGCGTCAGGGCAAATGGTACTACTTGACTGATCAAACCTTGGTAGGTAGTTCAAAGTCATCTCCCTAGACCACTTAGCCACATCTTCACTTGAATAAGCGAAGATATATAGAGTGTGGAGTTGTGGTTATTTGGCTTATGGAGTAGACTTTCAACTAGTGAGTTACAGGTTCCAGCACCGCTCCATCTACCGAGGTTTGGACAGCTAAGTCATATCATCAGGCCTCATATAATATTTGTGGCTGATTGCCAACTAGATGAATGTGCACAGGGTTGCTGAGTGGATATCAAGTGCTTCTGTCATGCTGATTGAATATCACGTTCTCAGCAAGTCACTGGAAATAGCTAATTTATTATCTATCTGATTTTTAGTTGTGAGAATTGTGTTTAAGATAAAGCACGTAGGTAAACCGGAAGTTCCGGAGCTGTTTAAACAGTTAAGTCTCTACATTATTTCAGTCTCAACATTTTTCAGTACATATAAATACAGCAGGTATTGATAAACCAAAAAATAAATTTTCTGTTAATTATCAAAAGAGCTGTAGTACAGTACACAAATTTATTCTGGCTATGAATTGTTGTTCATTTTGGCCATCTGAAACACCCCGTGGTCTGGCTGGATGATAATTTAAGGTGAATTGAAGATGTAGGCCATGGTAGGATTTGAAACACCGACTAGTGAATTTCCGACTTAGTGCTCTACCAAATGAACTACGAGACCTGACTGCTGATCAGATTCATATTACCCTATAATCCATATGGTTTTAACCGACTACCAGGTGGATTAGTGATACATTACTATCGGTTGATCGGAGTTAAATTGGCTGCCCAGTCAGGACTTCCTATGCCACTTCAAATCTAACTGAATTAAAGAGGGGGGGCATCATATTGATTACCAATTTGACTATCTGAAATAGCCGTGGTTTGACAGACTTGTACTGATACTAGGTGATGATTGATGGACTAAGAGCCACAGAAATACACATCGATGTAAACCCCGTTAGATATGATGGAAGTGAACAAATTGATAAGGTATCACGAAATGATGAAGGAGAATAGTTATTCTTTATCCTGTGGTTTCTAATAATTATTTCTGTTACTTGACGTTGAAGTGAATAAAGCCTGGTCATAACCAACTTGCCACCTTGAAGGTGTTGAATAAAAGTAAAATAAATCAAACAGTGAACCACATTTTCACTTATATAAGCTTATGCAATATAAAAACGTTTCTAAGTTGTAGTACCCTTTATGTGTGTACTGAGTTTCAGTGTTCAATATGGCGCAGATACCAAATAATCGTAAAGAGACTAACGTTTTGACCATTGGAATAAAAACGGAATCAATAAAGTGGCACTCCAAGTAGAGCATATTCAACATACAGATAATAATGAGTAGAATTATTTATACACGTGAAAAAAATAACCGTTTTTGTTAGCTATCTCACTGACATTTAGCAAGGGATTTATTTTATTTGACTAACTATCGTTTTAGAAGACAATGACATATTTAAATCTTATCCCAAAAGCGACTCAAAGTGGTTGAAAAGTATCACTTTACAAAAGAATCAAAGTATCTAGCAGTGTTGAAGTTTGATATATACATATATATTTGTCTTTGAGTAATTCCTCTGCTTTCTTGATGTAGTCTTCTTCGTCCATGACTACTGTAGTGCGTCCCTTGTCTGCTGGAATTATAACTATGTCTTTCCTATTTTTCAGCCTTTTTATTGTTTTCTGTTCTTGAGTGTTCACTTGAGCGTGATGTTTCATTTGCCTGGTCAGTGGTACGATTGTTTACCATATTTCTTGTTGAGTGACCTCATTTATTCCTGATGTTTTAAGTAACGACTCTAATGCCGCAAAGAATTCTGGTTTCAAGACATCTCTTGTGTTGTAATTCAATCCTTTCTGAAGAAAAAGTTCTTCCAATTTTTTGTAAATGGTTTTTTTGATAAGTTGACAACGCAGTTGTTTGTTTCATCGTTTGAAGGTACTTTTGAGATTTTGAGCAGCTTTTTCCTGAGGACGTTTCTTCATTGTTATTTGTATCGTCTGCTAGATTTTTCAATTGCAGTTGTCAGTTTTGTCATGTGTTGTGTCGTGAATATGCTTTCTAGTTTTGCCTTTTGATTGTTAATCACTGATTGGTATTTCCGAATCCAATGATGTGCATCTGTGGTCATCAATTGTACCGAACCAAGTGTTGAAGTTTGTAAATGATGAAATTCGCCTCTGAGAACTTTGTCATATAGAATAAAACTGTTGTCGCTTAAATGGAACAATATCGTTTAAAGTGATTTTGTCCTTATTGCATAAATGCAACCAATCAAATTAGTATTTCAGCTTGAGAGTTTGAGGGGATTAATTCATCACATGGAAGTAGGTATATTGACCCATTGGCTGAATGGCTAATACGTTCATCCTAAGACCTGATGGTCCTGTTTTGGATCCGTAGTGGGGCACGCACTGCTATGATGAGAATAAAATATGCATCCTTACAACACAACGAATTTATGCTAACTTATAGTAGAAGTATAAACTTTTCCAATCAGCAGACAATAACTCTCCAACTTGGCAGTTGGAGAAAAATCGTATTTAAGTTGAATAAAGGCATTCCACAGGAAAACTTGCCTTACGTGTGTTGTGTTTCTTACGTTTTAGGGCTTGTCAGTGGGGCGTAACTACAATCTCGATGGGACTGATATCCCGCTTGATAATAGGAACCCTCGCCATTCAGTGCTATGGTCAGATACGTTACCAATGAACTATTCCTGCCGTCACTGATCTCCTGTATATTTTCTCACTGCATATTACTGGAACTGTTCATGGTTGATCAGTCTAAAAACGTGAACTAGAAAGATTCAATAATGGGATTTAAATTTCACTCAGATGACTTTGGTCTTGGTAGTTAGGTGAAATTGTAATGTCCTAGACTATCAGAGGAACTCAATGGATTCTTCCATGTTCTACTTCGTCCCAGGTTTTTATACTTCTGATTTTAAGATACTGGTCTAAGGCAAGTAACTTTCACGTGAAGCATTTATACAGATGAGCGTCAGCTGAAGCTGTCACACCGCACAGCAGTGTGCAAACGAGAAGTGAAGCAAAGAAGAATGAAGTATGGAAAAGTGTGTGAGAAGAGAGATGATAAACAGATGAAGATCAACAGAAACTTTTGGAACTTCAAAGATAGCTGAGGGCCTATGCATCTGCCCCCTTCTCATCAATTTATAGCTGTATCACCGTAACTCGCAACCACTAATTCCAATCTTCTCGAGAACCCTAGCCAAACAGTCTACGCGTATTTACATGCTTCACACCAACAGTCAGAGACATTATGAACTGTTATAACCTCTTAGTCTGATAACATTAAGCTTTCTTGCGTCTTTATCCCTAAGTCATCTAGCCCAATGAATTGCGGTACACACTGGCGTGGTATGTACACTATATGTGCAAGTCAGTGAAGGTTCTTAACCTCATCGTCTAAATTGCATTCGTCACGCAGGTCTCTACATCTAACCTGAAATGGTGGAGAATATTTGTAGCTCAGGTGGATGGGCTTGATCGTATTGTGTTCTCTGACCTGGATTGTTTATTCGTGGAGTTTACATCGTCTTTCTAGATAACATCATCAGCACTAACTTTAGTATGAAATGAGCTGTCAATTTTTCTCCGTTATTGATTTAGTAGCTTGCCCTGACGAACTGGTTTGTGTTTGGTTGTTTCCTTTGGTTGTCGTGTGATCGACTGTACAGATTTTCCTGTTGGCTGTTCCTCTGCTTGACCTCTGACCTTTCTTTCTTCCATCATTTTACTCATTGGTTAACAGATTGGGTCTATGTCTATACATCTGATGATTTCTGACTGACCTGAATGCCAAGCTTCTACGAATTCTCTGATATTCTTTGTGTTTCCTCTCTCTGTCCAAGATTTCTGCATCGTCAAAATTGAATTTATATCCATAATTATCCATGTGCATTGAAATGAGTTATGAAATGTCGTGACATTCAATAGCTAATTGGTGTTCATGTGGACGAAGACGAAGAGGGTGATCACTTTGTCCAATGTAGTATTGACCACAGTTATTGCAGTTGATTTTGTAAATGATATTCGGTTTGTCTTCTTTGTTTGTTGCGTCCTTTGGTCTGCATAATAGTGTTTGGAGGGAATTTGTTGGTTTATGAGCCACACCAACTCCAAGTGGTCTCAGCAATCTTGTTGTAATTTCTGATACATTCTTTATGTACGATTAAATAACCTAGTTCAAAGAACACAATAAAACCAACTATATCTAACCTGGATATTGTTCTTATAGTGACCCCATTATCCACAAGCAATGTTGTGAAGACTTCTCTAGTCAAAAACCCGTTGCCTTTTCATATCTTCTATTCTTAAAGGCAATGTTTGACTGTCAAACGATAGGATAAAGTTTAATAACACAGTTCTTTGACATATAGCCAGATATCTTGTTAGCTACATTAGTAGTATAAGGTGACAAATACCCAACAACTTTAAATACAAGCTGAGATGTCATCAAAAAATGGACTAGTGGAACTCAAGATTTAAGTTAAAAGGGTTAACGCATTCCCATACTTCACGCTTTCTCCCTTAAACTAGGAGTCAGTGTAGATTCGTGTTTACTACCAGTTATGCAACTAATCCATTGATTGTTGTGCCCAAAATGACTTTACAAATGTATAAATATACCACTTTTTTTAAGGAAAGACCTTTAAAAAGAACATATGAGATTACAGTCACTATCGCTTCTAGAACTTGTGTTTTATAACACAATATAGTCAGTCTTTTTTTCATCAACTGAAGATTCATGGTTAAGGTTCGATTGCAGTAGACAATGAGTCACACCTAGTGTGTGAAGGCTAATGACACTACTACCTGACTGTCCAAACCTTGGCAGGTGGATCACAGTTCCAATCTAGGATCCACTAGTTGATAAGTCAAGTGATTCAACCAATGAAACACAACTACAAGATTTTTAATTTACTCTTAGCTATGATTTTTCAATCGTAGTGATAGTTCTAAGAAAACAAAAGTAACAATCAGGGATTCAATTGCATAGTCAACTGATGTTCATCAACAGTTAGTGTTGTCATTCAATAGGTTCCCTTCAGTTGGTGTACACATCGATTGAATTAGCTTTTTTCATAATGAGATTGAATGAAATGAAGTACTACAATGTTTTTTTTCACCTTCTTTTCATAAATAACTCCGAAAAAATTATGCATAGGTAATTCTTTTTCAGTCGTTGTACACTTCTTACTATCCGTTAACGTTTTTTTTTGAAAAAATGTTTTTTTAGTGAACATAAACTAGTTCCTTGGTTAAGAATGATCTTTCGTAATCATGCATTCGTTCAGTGCATCTATGAACCATGGAGTTATACATTAAGTACAGGTAGGTAACTTGATTTACAATATTCACCTTATTATCCTAAAATGGTTCCTTTTTCTATTGTGAAGTATACTGTGATGCAGTACATTTCAGATGTAGATAAGAAAGTGTTATAGTTTGTAGATGGAAGTCAATGCAAGCCATGTAGAAGTGATGAGGTTCGATATTTTGAATGGGTTAATACTTTTATTTAATAGAGCTGGGTGATACGGATTCAAATCTCAATGAGGATATCAGTCCCGTCGATGTTGCAGAAATGCCTTCCTGATGATTGCTAATCAGCAAGAAAACTAAGGGAAACCGGGTTTCCTGTTGATGCCCTCTAACCAACTAACGGAGCTCTAAATTACTTTATTAGTAACACACCGGTAGTAGTACTAGTAGATCGTATTGTACATTAAAATAAGTCTAAAAGTGTAGTTTCATAATAATGCACTAAAGTGTTAAGTATGCTTAAAAACCATGGATTTCTCTCAAAAATATGTAGTAGCTGGTCAAGAGCCTTAAAGAATGGTGTATGGTAATACTCTGATGGCAATGAACAGCGTTTATATCCAGCACTACGCACTCGGTACTATGTAGGATAGCGCCATACAACCATAATTTGACATCCCGGATACATTTGGTGTCCAATTATACAACTATAGACAGTCAGCTTCAACCATTTATCGTTTATCTGTAGTTGTCCGATAATACTGAGGTATCCTACCTTCGATTTCATGTGTTTATTCAAGCTTTACGAACCTTTATTATGTTTAATTTGACTGAACTAAGGGTAAGAAATGCTGTTATTCACTGGAGACAAAAATCGGTATGTTTAATCCTACCTCTGTGGATTCAAATCAGAGGTAGACGAAAAGTCTTACAAAATACTAGCTATAACAATACACGATGTTAAAGAAGGTACTCAATATGTGAACTGTATGGTTTCAGCATTGCATTTGAGGGTTTCTATACTTGTCGCTAGACTTCTGGGTTTCTACAATTGATCTTATATGGCCTTAAGAGTAAGTGTTTCCAAAAAGTAGTGAATCAGGACGCTACAAGATGTTTAGTACTGCTTTGAAGAGATATTTGTTTCGTGATAGTATGCGGAAAAGATATACTGATGATCGATCGGAAGAAAGAACGTGGATATGATATAGCTTGGTGTGGCCGAGTTATTAGCGCTGGTGAAAGTAAAATAGTTGACTAAATAACTGCACTCTGTGTACATAAAGTGACTCATCGAATTCACAAGAGACACGTGAGCGATAATAACACGATGAGACACTTGAACTGGATACGAAAAGTGACTGGTCTCCCTCAGAATCTTTTGCTCCACTGACCCATGAAAATCACAAGACGAAAACAGACGTGTGACTATAAGGAAAACTCTTTATTCGACAAAAACATATCATTTATATACAGTTCTCCAGAGCATATTAAGCCAATTGAACAAAAGTGAAATGGCTTGTTTTGATTGGCCGACTGTAGGATAAGTTGTTCAATAAGGATTTTCTTGACTACACAGTGACATGAAACAAAAGGTGAAACCTGAACCTTAACAGCTGGTGACTTAAAATGTTGGTTTCCATCTCAGACACTTCCCATCAGTATGGCTAACCCGGAAACTCAAAATAAACTGCAATCAGGAATAGGGAAGAACTTATCATACATGTTATCATATATGGTATCATTGAATCAAGTAAAGTTGTTGCCTATTTACAATAAATGGAACTGAAAATTATTTCGATAAAATTGTGCAACTGAAGGTGAAGGTCATAAGATAACAAATGACTTCGTACGAATTCATTAAGGCTGGCTGCCTTATTGTATTCATATCAAGTGCTGCTCACTGCCTGTTAGTTCAGATGGTATCAGCTCTTCATCACCATTAAGTTAACATCAATCATTCCCAGTCAGCATAGACATTTGTTTAAAGTAATAGGAAAGATACAAAAGTCAACCCATTGAAACAGTCAAATTAGCAGAAAGTAATCATAAAACATACAGGATCATGAAATAAATGAATAATATATTCGCTTCCTTATATCATATTGATCTTGGTGACTAGCAGTGAAATCTAGAAAGCGCGTTCCTTCCAGTTTACGACTTCTCAGCTGGGCATGCCTATACCTCAGTCAGTTGTGATGTTCCCACTGGGACTCGAACTCAGTACCCATCGCCTCAAACACCAAAGCGTTATACTCTGGCCCACTGAGACATGAGAGCCACCTCTTATCCAGTCGGTGTAATATGTTGTTTCTTTACACTTGTAATTTTTTGGTTGCTATACTCTTTCTTTTTATAACAAAGAGTGATGCAGTTTCCGGAGGTTAGGACAGTAGATGAAGTGAAATTCAGCTGATTCTGCTATGTATTCTTGTAAAAGATTATCAAGGTCAGAATGATAAATAGACGATGAGAGGGAGTGGCTTTGAAAGTAATTAAAACTAAGTAAATATTGATATTCAGGTCAATAAGGAAAGATGTGACGTGGTAGTAATTGGAGTTGAAGTGTTGAGAAAAGTTTTCAGATGTTACCACGCATGGTGACGGGAAGTCAATTCCCTTATTCTTTTGAACATATGAAGGTAGCGAAAGTACACTGGAAAAATTGGTCTTTGAGAAGGGCGATACAGAAGCGAGAGTTTTGTCTGTTTCAAGCAGTTTTAGACGTTTAACTTATTTTCCCTTGATTTCAATTGTCCACCATATGGTACAGTATCACGCTAATGAATCCCATTTGATTATTTCGGTCACACACACACACACACACACACACACACACACACACACACACAAGGGTTCATTCAATGATCAGTCGCTGTAGTGCAACCAATTTCATGTTGTCTAGTGCTGACTGAATTCGCAGTTCACTGTGATTCTGAACCTTATAGGTTGGTGGCCACATTGAAAAACCAATCAAGGTAGGCTTTGGCCTGGCATGCACAGTACACGTCTAAGTCATCTTAGTCGACTAGGGTTCACAACACCATCAATCAACTTGCCAGTCTTGCCTAGTACCTTCTGCCTGACCTCGACATAGCTAGCACAATTACCTCCCTACACGCGTACCATGATACGAAGACACTTATGATTAAAACCCTCTAGCCGCTTCATATCTTCTACTTTCAACAGACATGCTTCATAGCTGTATAACAGGACACAAAGGACTACAGCGCAGTATACTCGTCCTTGAATAAGTAGTCGGATATCATACCAGGGCCACAGATGATGTAAGTTGGTAAATGCCAAACGGACCTTCAGTATACAAGATGAGATTACGTCAGCAACCAGCCTGTTCAAGTTGATGTAACTCTTCAAGTTAATGAAGTAGTTGACACATTCCAACATCTCACTGCTTGTCGTTAAGCTGGGAGTACTTACAGCATACCAGTCCTGGAGCATAACCTTACGTTTCATAGGTCCCAGCGAAACGTATAACCAAACACACCAAGATTTCTACTCAAGGAGTGCAGAAAACCCTACATTTTATCAGCGTCCTTACACGAGCTGCAAATATTCACCCTTAAGGTATCCATCTTCTGAAAGATGTCCTCCGTTCCTTTAATCATGAATTTATTCTTGGACATAACATTCATGAACATTGAAACCACTATCTAAGCTGCATAAATGTTGAGATACTACATTTGCTGGTCTCTTGAGTCAGTTCAAGGAAGTTGTTTCATTCATTTCAATGACCTTCTTCTATAACCTATAGTTTCTTTATATCATGATGGACAATATTTCTCATATACGTGGATTTGTGAAAACTTCTCAATTATTAATTTGATAAAGTGTATGTCTGGTAGTGAATGGTGAACCTTTTGCATTGAGTTTACCCAAATGTATACTCTACAACTATTATTTGAATTTATTTTTATCACAAATAATAACAATATACCAAATCGGTATTCATCACAGACGGGATCCCGACTCAGTGGTTCAATGGTAATATGCTGACCATGAAACCCAAAGGTCCTAAGTTCGATCCGTGGTGTGTTTGTGAGTATGTACTGCTGAGATGTCCCACACCAGGTCAAAACTGCTAATTAGTGCTCTCAGGTTCTCAACAGTTCTTTAAATGATGTCATTTCATGACAAATACCAACTTAGAATCAATAAGTCCCGGAGAACATTCAAATTTATGATGATATTGTTATTCACAGTTTATCACAGTCATTTCAGTTGACAGAATTGGAATGAATTTTAAACATAAACATACATTAGATAATTGTCTCATACTAGTATTATTGACATTTTCGGTAGTACGCATTCTTAACTGTCAAGTTTCGTAAATGGCATATTGCATATCCCAAATTCTCCTTGTCCACTGTATAGCACAATTGTTGTCCAGCAGATTGTAACCTATTTTGTGAATGGTACTGTCATAAGTGTTACATCTGTTAGGGGCTGTAGGTATGCATACCGACTAGCAGTTTTGGACTGTCCTCTACAATAACCTGCTTCTTGATGCTTCTCTAACTTATATATCATTCCGTAATGAAAAACTGATATGGAATCCCTCACACATCTTTTAAGTGAAGGGTTTGTTGCACACATTGTTTATACCCCTTACACATCTACCAATGATAATAATTTTGACAGAAAGACTGTTTGTTTTATTACCATAGGATTTGTCGATGTTTTAACTTCATTGAATAAATTGACCGGTCTTGAATTCAATCTCCCCTACGATTACAGTATTCGTCATTTAAAAGAGATACATGATGCCTTTTAAACTGTGAACCGATATTCATAATATTTTCTGTACTAATTCATAACACTATACTGAAATCCACTGGTATATATATATATATATATATATATATATATATATATACTACTCGCAATACTACTCACATATGTCCACTGATCAATATCTATCTATCTGTCTACTATTACGATTAATATTACTACTACTAATGATAAAAATTATGGTAATGTTGCATTTGTTTGTATTTCATTCAATAATGAACTGTCAATTATCTTGTCTCTTCAGGATTTCGACTTTGTTTCCTCTCTTCCCTATTTGTTAATAATCCATTCTTTATTTTTCTAAACTTATTGTGATAATATGCATAATTGTACAATTGTTGAAATATATATAATGCGTAAATGTTGACTGTTTTTCATGGTATGCATTAATTACATGACTTTTCTTTTGATTTTTAATGAATGATGTTATCTCAAGGTAGTATTGATTACGAACCGACACTGATTGGAAGAACCATTGGAAACCTGGGAGCATTGAACAGCTGCTTCGTTTTAGCCTGAGACGACTCAGCAGTGTGCACTGATGATATCACACCAGGCAGTGTGGGCACGCTAACCATTTTCATATTTTCCTGCTTTTGTTAATTCGTGAGGTATCGTGACTTCCCGATAAGATCATCATTAGAAAGCCGCTACACTTTGATTATTCTGAGTCGAGAAAGAAGTCAGTTGCCAGAATTTGAAAACACTCTACCTGAAGTGTTAATATTCCGTGCTGGTAATCAAAGGAGATTTCCGATTATGTTTAATCATCTATTCTTAGATTTAATGCGCACTTGGAATGACGTTTATATCTATGGCGTCTGCTGAGAAACTGTTGAGGTTATCAAACGTTTGTTAAGAGAACACAAATAACAATGTAATAGCTAATTTCAGTAAGAATAAATACTCACTTTAGTTCTCATTACTATGTTGCATATAATAACAAACAGGAAATAGATCACCAAGAATAAGAGGCATATCGAACATGGAAAGAAATGTATGCTCCCATTGCAAATATTCTATAATAAACAGTTTTCATCGTCTCAGGTGTGAACGGATCGAAGTGGTATTTAAAACTACAAACTCACTTATAGATAAACTTGGTTAGCTAAAGAATTCTGTAGAACCTATTAGAGAACAGTCTGATCTACCAAATCTCACGCAATGGCTCTTAGGTCGAACTAGACAACTAGAATCACTTATGTTAGGAGAACATAGAAATTTAGGTAAATGTAAAATGGCAAACCCTAGTACGATGAAAAGTATAGAGAGAAGAGTTAAGCCGTAGCCACGCATGCTGTCACAGGATATGTGACACACAGAATAGTCATGATAAAACACCAGCACTGGATGTATGGGAAATTGTACTACCAACTGAATCAGAGAATGTAAAACTATGACAGAATTTTATGTGACTACCTTGATATGATTATGAGTAATAAATTGTGCTGGAGATGTCACGTTTCACTCTCCCATACATATATAAGAAAGAAATGTTGTTGACACTTCAGTATTGGTTAAGAGTGTTACTAGGTATAGTCGTGACAGAAGTTGATCATGAAGATCACTACAAAGGCACAGCTGAGCTCCTTCGAACTTGTTACGTTGACGTTATTTGGAATATCTGAAGTAGTAAGGAAATTATCACAGAGAAAAATCATTCCAACTTAGAAGAGACAGACAGACAGACAAAATTAACGTTGAATCTCGCTCACAAGTGTATCGGTTCGAGTTGCTACACTACACTCCAGTACAATGCAAAGAACAGGGAGATAAAAGAAAACCGATATCGAAGTAAAAAAGTTGGATGAGAGGATAAACAATCTAAAGACAACGGTTGCAGCAAATATTCAAGCTTCTTAAGATGTCAAGGAGTGGATACATCTGCTTCGTTATGCCCGATTTTGTTTCCTCTGTCACTGATTCCTACCTCCTTGGGGACACGAGACAGCGTAGAAGGTGGAACACGAACAATAAGGATATGAAGCCATCAAAAAATAAGGTAGAAATGCTATGTAGGAGTGATACGGCGGGATACTCTTAGTTAACTAGTTGAAACATGTAGTTGTAATCGCAGAACCTAAACTAACCAAGGCAATGGTAAATTAACACTTGTGTCTTACGGAATAAACAAGTCCGTTTTTATGCTTGTGTCAAACTTACGTTACTGATTGCAGGAGAAAATAAGTCAAGAACAAATAAATTGGCATAAAACCTCCCTTTTTTTCTCTTTCTAACACACTCCAAATTGTTGATTCAACTTGTCACAGTCTATAACATCAGAAAACTGTGAAGTTTGGACACTAGTTGCTAGGAGACAATCAGCAGAAAGCCGGTTTTTTAGCATTCATCAGCAGGGCATATCTCCAAACTCGGGGACTGATGTCACTTCTAAAACCCGAACGCATATCCACCCACTTTCGCAGTCAGCGACATTCCTGGGTGAGCTGTTTGATGTCACTGGCCGCTGGAAAGCAACCAATTTCATGTTATCTAGTCTTGAGTACTGATCGGGTTCTATCGATCAACGTGTCCATCAAACTGGGAAACTTACCATTGTGATGCACATGTTTAGGTGTTAGTTAGTTGAAAGCAATCTGCAGGAAGGTTCAGACCCAAGGTTCATGTGAAGATTCATTTTCAGAAGTAAACTTATTAGCCCTTACTGGCAATATAAACCCATTTTAAAGATGGTGTAAAAGCATCCGAAGTTATAACTTCGTATTAGATTATACTGGTTAGTAGTAAAACGAATGTTAACACTCTTTCGTGTTCGGGACTTGACTGCATCCATCCCAATTAACATTATTTCCTATGTAGATAAGATCTCAGCCATGCAATAAACGCAAACCTAGGAAACAACTGATTTGTTATAATAACCTAGAGTTGAAAAATTAAAGTCTGAAGAAAGTCATCCATCACTTCTACTGCTTTGAAGAAGGTAGGATAAGAATATTGTTCAGTTATAGTTCGATGTAAAAACGCCTTTTAATATTAAATTGTCCTCGGGCCAAAAGCAAAATAAGATTAGTTAGATATCATATAAGAATTTGTTTGAAAGAAATTAAGTTGGCTTGCAGATGTAAGTTAAGACAAGAGATGTGCAATGTTATTAGTGTCAGCCAGCGAAGATAACATAGAGATAGTAATATTATTAGCAGGCAATGATAATAAGAAGCAACGTCTACAGCGAAGTAGTACGCTGAGTAGGGTTCGCGATGAATGCAGTGGTAGGAGAGATTTGTTATGTGGTTGACTATGTTGCACTGTGTAGGAGTAAAGGGCTGTACCAATCTAGTCTGTATCCCAGCTGAATGAACAAAAACCGTGAGTCGCTGCGCAGCTGTTCAACCTCTTCTTGAAGCTGTTTGCAGACGGATCCATAGACATCCCGGAAGGCAATGCGTTCCAGTGGCCATAAACTTGCAGAGGGAAGTGTGAGCACATACAGGTTTTCGCCCTCTGATGGCAGATTCGACCTGGGCCATCACGGGGATTGATTCCGACATTGAACGTTCGGTAGGACTCCACTGTTCGGATGGCTTGGATTACGCAACATATTATGAGCTGTTATCGAGCCAGCGCGTCAGCTACTGTAGCTAAGGGAGTAAAGCTCTAGGTCTTTCAGTCCATCCTCATAGGGTTTTTACCTCATTCCCACAACACCATTTTCTGCTCGCCTCTGTACTTTCACCAGGAGGTTCACATCTCTTTCCAGGTGTGGTGCAATGTGCAATGACGTTGTGGACCTCAAAGTGAGGTCGTATGTAGGTGTTGTACAGCCTCAGGAAGAGCTCCGGAGTGGGGGCACCTAGTTGTCTGTGCATGAGATGCAGTACCACGTAGGCTCTCCTGAATAATTGAGGCAGGCGTTTGGCTCATCAGTCAGTATTAATCGTTAGCCTTTCACCGTGGTGGCAGAAGATTGCGTTCCACAGGGAGAGAAGAATACATTTTGGTAGTGATGGATGCGGAGAAATGTAATTCGGCATTTATCCAGATCAAATGCCAGTCCATCATTATCCATCCACTCTGCAAGCAACCTGAGATCACTGTGTAGTGATCTTGATTCTGCTCTGGATGTCACAGCTCTTCATAACTTAACATCATTAGCACAAAGTAAAATTGGGGAGTTGATAGCCACTAGGAGGTCATTCAAAAAATGAGGGGGTAACAAAGGAGCCGGAATCCCTCCGTTTTACACACCAGATGATGATGTCCTCCAAGTCAAGCGAATCCTGTTGAATTTCATGGAGAATTCTCTGCCGCCTGAATAGTCCTGCAGTCAGGAGAGCACTTGACCGTTGACACACAACCTTGGTATTTAGCGAGCGAGAATGGTGTGTTGTACTGCATCAAAGAGCTCGCAAAATCCAGGGCAATCACATGGGCCGGGACATGGAGGTCTCAGCAAGCCATCCAGTTATGACCGGTAGTCAGGAGGTTTGAGGAGCAGGACCTAGCCTTTCGGGAACCGTGTTGAGCATCACTTAGTGCCCCCCTATTGTCCAAACACTCTCTGACATGTTCGCCTACCGCTCCTTGGATTGCTTCCCACAACACTGGTGGGAACGCCATAGGTATATAGCACCTCAGGTTCTGCCTGTCTCCTCCTTGAAGATGGGAGAGAGTAGCACGTTTCTATTCTCATTTTGACATGTGTTCGTCTAGGTGGTGTTGAAACGGATTGCAGAGCGGGCTGAATAAGACGCCTGCACGTGCTTTCAACGCAGACGGTGATCGCATCGCATCGCATCCCGATGATTCCTCTGTACTGGGTTTTGACATTTTTTCGATGACTATAGCATGAGTTACCTGTATTCCATACAACTCTTCTACATTGGGCAGTGCTGATGGTTGCTGGGGCAGTTGACGATTTTGGTTAGATGACTGGATATCAAGTTGTGTGTCGTAGGTGGCGTCAAAAGTCTCGCTAGTCTCCAGTCCAGAGATCTCTCCGTTCAGGCCTTTCATATCGCAAGC